TCCATTAAAAAAAAAAAAAGCATATCTTAGATATTAATCTGGATCATTTCCACTCGAAGAGAAATTTTGCTTTTAAAAATTTTCATTTTCGAACCGTACACATATTACTCCCGACAATTTTCTATTAAAAAGAAAGCATATCTTAGATATTAATCTGGATCATTTCCACTCGAAGAGAAATTTCGCTTTCGAGGATTTTCATTTTCGAACCATACACACATTAAGTACTTCCACCAATTTTCCATTAAAAAGAAAGCATATCTTAGATATTAATCTGGATCATTTCCACTCGAAAAGAAATTTCGCTTTTAAAAATTTTCATTTTCCGGAAATTCATTTTCATTGAAAATTTTCCAATCAACCTTTTGCCCCCTTTTATCCTGCTAGATCATTTACTTCAAACATAAAAGGACAAGCATCAATCGAGTGCTTCGACACAAAAATTTAAAAAAAAATCCAAAATGTGAATATAACCACGTTGAACCAGTGCAAACAGCTCGTATTAATCTCGATCATTTCCATTGGAAGAAACATCACCTTTTCGAGGATTTTCATTTTCGAAGGGCACACATTGCTTTCGGCAATCTTCACTCGGAAGTTATTACATCGAATGATGTTTCTCGTTCGAATCGCCGTCTCGTTAACAAGAATTTTCAGTGGAAAACACACAGCTGAGCGGGGGGAACTCATTAACATCCAGCCAAAAACTTGCATCCCCGTGGTTCTTCATTTTCTGTATCACTGATTTTCGCAATTACCCTTTTCCCTTTGCGCCTCGAGATCCAGATGCTCCCCCTTCAAAGCGAAGAAGACACGGGAAGGTAGGAGAAAAACGGACCACGCGAATCGAACAGCTAGAGTTTCCTTTCCCTGTCCTTCTCATTTCGAACTTTTCAACCGAACTCCACGCGTATACACACACACGCACACACCGTGATTACATCACCGTCCACGGGAAATTTCGCGACATCAAACGACGAACGAGTGGACGAATGAACGGATCTCTCGGAGGAAAAGTAATTCCGCCTGGTAATCGGCCGGGTTTATTATAGGTGAATCGGTCTTCGAGGGGAAGAAAACACCCTTCGTGTTTGTTCGCAAGAAGCGTCCCGAGGCTAGCGCAAGGTAAATAAGGTGGCTCTGTTTCGAAAACTTTTCTAACGACGTTGTTTGAGCGACGCTCGATTCGTCGAGGAAGAAACTCGTAGATTTCGCGATAAATGGGAAATATAGGAGGCAGATTTAATTGTAGTTCTGGATAGAGAAGAGAATTATTGTGCCGTGTCAATACTGGTTAGAATTGTTCGGGAACATAAGCAGCATTGGAGCTCGCTGATGAGTTTAGTGTTCAAGAAAATGTCTACACTTCCGGCGAACGTGGTTCACAATCTGTTCACGAACTGTTAGAGAACACCAGTGTGGACCTTACATTAGAGACTTTGTTGTGAGAAGCAAGTAGTTCCATAATTTGTACAATTTATCTAATTTTTTTAATCGATATGCAATGTGAAATGAGACGAATCTAATTTTCTCAATCGATATATGAAAAGTGAAACTTTCCCACTCGTGAAAGAATTAATAACACCAGAATATGCCCCCTTCGACACCGTTTAAATTTCATCTGAAACATTTTCCGCTATGAGCAATAATAAGGAGAAAATCAAGATGTCGAAATCAGCTGAGACACCCTGTATATGTGAAATGAGACGAATCTAATTTTTACTTAAAATTTGGTTGTTTTATATACAGGAAGATGGGATAAAATAGGGTATCTTTGTTTAAATTTTCAACACAATTTTCAACACTTTTTACACCAATGTGTGATGTAAAATGTTTAAATAATGTATTGAAATTAATTTCATCCTGAAAGATGTTCCATAAGTTTCATTTAGAAATTCCTTCTACAGATAAATGAAACTGGATTGAAAAATATTCATTTTCAGTAAAAAAAAAATTCGGAACAGACAATTTAATTGTTTATTCACGTCGTAAGCGAATATAATACCCGATGCTTTTCCAAATCAGAAAATATTCAATTGATTAAAAAGCTCGTTAAAACATTTGTCGCACAAAACGAAATCCTCCCACCCTGTCCCCTCGAAAATAGTATCGCATGTTCGATGCAGGCGTTAACAAAAGTGTATGTAATTCGAGGCACGTTCATAAACGGGCATAAAAGAAACGCGAGACAAAGCTGGAGCCGAAACAGAATCCTGTTGAAATTACCAGCGTCAGAAGAACAAAGATTCCTTTTGCACCGATTAAAATATCAATAATTCCATTGCAAACGCGTAACACCAACGGATTCACCGTCGAAAGTACCTAATAAATCTCTCCCCGTTTTTTCTCCATTTACAAAAACCAGGCGAGAGAGGAACAACAAAATTATTCCTTCCATTTGTGTGTATTTCGTTAAACAAAATATATCTGTATTTAATTTCTCGTCGTGAATCAGAGGAAACGCGAAACATCCAGCTAAAACTGCTGTTATTTTCCCTCCTGGTTCTCTCAAAGAGAGAGACAGGGACAAGCAGAGAGGAATAAAACGAGCCGAGAGCCAAACCGCGAGGAGAAGAGAAAAGGGGGAGAAAAAAAAAAGAAGAAAAAGGAACGCGAAAAAAGAAAAAAAGAAACGAGACAGAGAAAGATCGAAAAATTCGACGGCGGGAGATTTTTAGCGAGAGCGCGTAGCACGCCCCTTTCATCGTGTCCCAACTCTTTTAGAATTATAGCGGCACAAAGGTACGAGCACTGGCGGAGGAGGGTGAATAAACCGTAACTGCAAATGCAGGCCCGCGCGCGAGCGCGAACCCGGAGATTTTCAAAAGGACCAAGCGACGTGCCGGGCGTACAAAGAGAGCAGCACCACCCCTCCACCACCGTCCCTCGCGTTGACAGAGAAACACCTTGAACGCTGGACCAGAAAGATTTCAGCTGGTCGCCTATCATGTTTTATCGGACCGCTGTGAGCCGCGCGCCTCCGCGGCAACGTGCGTCAATGTCACGCGAAAGCGGCGAGCTATAGTCGGACCGAATGTATCGGCCGGTCACGGTCATTCCCCCTCCACCGCTTCTTCACACCAGCGAACTCTACCGAGCGACACATGTACCTATACAAACTGTTTAAAGTAAACGTGGTGTATTTGAGTCAATCTTTCGCCTTTTCGAGTTAACGCCGCATCTCGAAAAGATTTGACCTTCCTTCTGTTTCGTGCAGAAGTGGCGTAAGGATATCTTCGTTCGTTTCTCGACGGATAGCAAAATAAGTAAGAACCATGGAGGCTATATGCAAAAGATTCGATAGAACGACTGTTAATCAACGAACGGTAAGAGTAGAATTAAAAAAACGAAGGAGGAGAGATGACCTTCACCGTGCAATATATTCGACTCCGACTATAGGATTGACATCGAAGAGGAAAGTGGAGTGTAAACGATATGCAAACTAGTGGAAGGGAGGCACGGCGAAGAAAGGCTGACGGTGTTCCAAGGGAGAAGACAACGAGCTCGAGTCGCGATAAAAGAACGACGAGCCACGGGGGCGGAATGGCTTTCAGGAAGCGTGGTAGCCGATTCGGAAAACAGAGACCCGTGGTGCAAATAGTTGTGCAAACTTACTACCACGGAGAAAAGAAGGAGAAAAAGATGGAGTTCCAGGAGCCGGGCTACTTTCCGGGGAACAATGTTCGGTTGATACGACGAGCTTCGTGGAAACGATGGAAAAGG